CAGTTGCCCCCCTGCAGAAGCAGACCTCTCCAGTTGCTCCTCCACTGTGCACCACTGCCACTTCTCTGCCTTCCCTGATGCTGCAGCCAGAGCAGGAAAGATGCAGGGTATAGCTGGAGGGAGTGGAAACAGAAGGGTCTCTCCCTCTGCCCCCCAGAATTTAGCATTTGGGGTTGGTGCCTTGCTCACCCATGCATCAGTACATTATTGCCTGGGAATTCAAACCACTGCTGACGAACAATACTGTTGTTATTAGACTGTCCCCAGTTTCATTGTTAAAAATATATCACACAGAGAATACTTCACACAGAGACTGTATGACCAAGACTTGGCTGGGTGACATGGCAAGGCTTGTATTGGCCTACTTTGCCTTTGCCTTGCTAAGGCTGTTCGCCTTCGGTACCTAGACCCAAGGGGTCATGTTTCATCAGTCATGCAAGCATGCCTTCCCTCTTTCACCTGAGGGATGTGCCTATCTCCTAACCTTCCCTCTCCCTCTCCTGAGCTTTTGTTGAGAAAAGCAGCATATACATCTCATAAATAAATACATAAAAATAATACACTCAGTGAGAAAGAGGCACCTCAGGAAGCACCAAGTAGTTTGCCCTGCTCCAGTTAACAAGAAACCAGAGCCAGCAGTGTCACCAAGCAGCTGATACAGGTGCTGTCAATGATGGCAGTGAAAAGGCGATACCCATTTCTTCCTTCTATACTTTAAGACTGGCACATTAACTTCAGTCTGCCCCTATATTTTTAGTGCTTAGAAGGCCAGCCTTTACCACAGAACACCTCAATATTCCTCCGTCTCAGACAGCCTCCTCATTCTGTCTGCAGTCAAATCTCTGTCTGTTCAGGTAAAGCGAAGGCTATGCAATCACAGCATACGGAGGAAAGCTCACAGACCCCTGCACTCCTGTCCTGCACATGCTGAAACACCTTGGGACAACAATAGCCTGCTAAGAGGCAGAAGAACTGCAAAGCTGATGAATCATTATGTCCATGACCTGAAAGTGCATACTGCTGACAAACTGGTTTCCAGACAGTTCTCGCCTCCCTATCACCCATGCAAGGAGGCATCTTATCAGACCCAGAAACAAAGAAACTGAATACCAATGATAAAAAAAACTGGACTGAAGCAGAAGGATTTAAAATGTGAAACATTTGTATAGACATCTGCTGATGCTGTAGAATTCTTCACCGCGGCAGCATCCAGCGCTGGCCTGGTGAGAGGAGCTTAGTCCTTTGGAAGCCAGTCAGCTACAGGGAAGGGGCTTCCTGGGAATCAACTCAAGGCTCAGAGAGGGAAAGGGGCATGGTATAACCTGCTTCCTCCCACCATTTCCCTCCCTACTCAGGCCCAGCAACTTCCTACCCCAGCTATGCGTTGCTGCTACAAACAGAACTTAAGTCAGCCGACCTCTTTATGAGGGATAACAAAAAAATGCCATGGAGATATAAATCTTAACAGCCTGGTCTTGGTTTTGATTCTTCACTTTTCTCAGGCAATTTAGAGTCAGCAAAAGTCTTTGAGGGGTCAGATGCCACAGGTTAGCTCGCACTGTGCTGTGGGGTAAGAGAACACACACAGGCAGTTGTCAGCGGGCGCATCTACACGTGCACCCAACTGCGCACTGTGCAGTCATGTAGGCATTGAGCAAGTACTAAATGACTGCACAGTACTCACCGGTGCTTCACAGTCCCAGCCGCGCACAGGTCATTTCCTGTGCTATGGTCATTTCCTGTGCTATGGCACAATAGCAATGAGCTACTGCGCAGTAGCATCATGGTTCATGCCTGCTAACACTATGTCACCATAGCTCATTGCTACAATGACGTAGCATCTCATGTAGACGCGCCCAGTGTATATCTGTGTATCTCAGCCTTGTCTACAGTAGCTTGTTCCTGAGTACATGCCTGGAGTGTAAAGTGATGTTGGGATCTAGCCTTCTGTCCTCATTTAAAGAAAAATGCCCCACTTTGTGTTTGCAGTGGTCCTTGGCATTAGCATTTAGAACAGGGGGTGAAAAGAAATACTGACAGAAAAATCCCTGCCCAACTTCCTTAGATTATAGAGGACTGGCTTTGATGTTCAGAGAGAGAGAATAGACTATCATGTAGTCACGGTAAGTTCTTTTCATCCAAACAAGAGACTACTTTTATTTCATTGGATTTGCATACTTATAAGTAAATACCCATTTGCCTGTTCATTTGCTTGGATATAACATCATTTATCTTCTTTATTCACAGTTCCCCAGAAATTGGAGACTCATGCATCCCAGCCTTCAGCCTTGCTTTTGGCATCCTCCTCTGATGTATGATGAGTCATCAGAGAACGCTGTTTAGGACTGCAGATATGAAATCTAAGGTACAGTTCTATCTCCCACACTTGTTTTTAAGTACAAAGCTTTACATTTGGCCCCTAAAATAAAGGAAACCAGATGACTCAGGAAAGTGGCTAATGACAAAACAGAGTGCAATTTGATAACACAGTCTGAGTTGCCTTCCCCAGCCCAACCATAAGGCTAGGGAGGGGAACTGAGTGATTGGGCTCAGTTCCCTTCCTCAGCCTGATTGATCCCAGTGCTGGGGAGGGGAACTGAGCAATTGAACTCAGTTCCCTTCCCCAGCTCCCCGGTCCCAGGTGGCAGCACCTGGCTTCCCTCCCTCATCTGGCAGGCAGATTGGGGGATGCAACCCCGGCAGCACTGGCACAGCCCCCGCAGCCCTCCTGGGGTTGCAGGCCCCCGATCTGCCTGCCGGATGAGAGAGGCTATTTTGTGCTTTCCCATTATAACCTATGGGCAAAACGTCAAAACAGTATCAAAACAGCATCGCTATTTTGACGAAATGAAACGGAATGGCGGTTTTGAATCAAAACAAAATATGAAATGAAACGTTGTTCCATTGAAACCTTGAAATGCAAGTCGAAACATAGCGGTGCTGTTTCACACAGCCCTACTCAGCATGCTACATAGGGTCTGATCCTATTCCCATAAAATGGCAAAATTCCCATTGATTTCAGTAGCGCAGGGCTTCCCTCCTACTTTTTAATGATATTCTTTTTACCCTTACAAAGGTTCAGCTTGTCATACCATAACCTTCAATAAAAATAATGTATGGTGGTAAATGCAAGTGGTCCACTTAAATTAACAGCACCCAGGATTGTACTGAGGAAATAAGGAACTTCCTCAGTCTATAATAGTTGCTGAATGTGAAACAAAAAGGACATAAAGGACACATGTTGTTTTCTGAGAGAAAGTAAATCTGCAAGGAGAGTATCTTGTGCAATTGTAAAGAACTTTCAGTCCACATACATATTGTCTAAGAAACCCCAGTTTTTGTTAGAGTGGCCTTTTTGTTTTGAACATTTTCATAGAACATTGGCAAGTGAAAGATAATACGGCTGTATCTACTTTAAAATCCCAACTACCCAACTTAGAGCATCTGAAGACAGCAGTCTCAGGTGTTCATAGCCAGGTGAGCTCAAGCCATTGGGTAACATGAGCCATTGCCTTAGATTTTCCAGGAGACTCAGTATTTCTAGTCAACAATCTCATTCTCCTCCCATTAAGCCTCCTGTCTGAATCAGGTTATGTCACTGTGACCCAGGTCAACGGAAACCTGAATATCTTTGAAACACAGTTATTGCTTTGAGCTACAGAAAGAACTGCTGCAGCATAATACTTGGACGTAAAAACCAATCTCCACCACAAAATCCCCAACCACTCTAAGCTGCCCCCCATGCCCTCCAAAACCTACTTCTCCCCCAACACCACACACTACTCCCAGCCATTTCAAAAGGATGGGAACTCTTGAACCTCCAAGAGATGCTATATTGCCGTAGCAGTGCACTTTGGCAACATAGAGTTGGTGGGCAAAACCCATGATGCTGCAGCTACATCTCTGCAGCAACATGCTCCCTTGCTATATCGCATTAGTACAGTGACACAGTGGCTAAAAATATCTGCACTGCCGGCACAGTGCAGTAATGGCTGTTACTGTGTCACCTAAAGGAAGTACTAAATGACGGCGCAGTAACAACAATGCCACAGGAACATGTGTAGATGCACTCACTGATATATATTGCTGATCACACTTACAACAGATGTACCACAAGCCCATCCATCACTACAAGTTCTTGTGCAGTTTAATAAAAGACCTTTAAAATTCAGATGAGTTCCAAGGATGGATAGAAAAAGGCTAAAACGGAGGAAAGTCTGTTCTGGGACATACTTGTGACTATTACAGGAGAACAGAATCAGAACCAAAAAGGTTGTGTGAGAAGTACTGCCTATATAGTATTTTGCACACAAGCGCGCGCATATACACGCACACACACACGCTTTCCACATGGTTTCCAACACACAATTATTCTTTACTTAGAAAGCAAAGAAGATATGCAAACCCAGAAATACTAATTGACCCTGCTTGTATTTTTTGCCCTTGTTTCCTCACATCTCTGTGGCTAGATCACAGTCCTGTGGTGTGTCCAACATCTTTCTCCTTCAGCTCACCCCTTGTTCTCTAAATCACAGAAATTACCTATCTATCTCTCTCCCACTCCACAGCTCCCCTCCAGGTCTGCTTCTTGTAAGTTAGATTTTGGGAACCTTTTCTTCTGTAACTTCCATCCTCCCAGGATCAGGTGAGTTTCAGTTAGCCTCAACAGGTCATCAAAGCCATCTATCAGCTGTTCTGTTGCTTAATTCCCTTTCCTACCCCAGAGTTCAGACATGAACAATTGGTTTGCTCTGGGACAGCAGCCATCTCTTTGTCCAAAAGTGTTTGATATATATTGATGATTGTCAGTTTTTAACAACCCTTTATTACTAGCCCTCTGCCACCTCTCTTTGAAAAGTTAGTCCATGATGGAGGTAAAAAGACAGGAAGAAGAAAAAATTCAACTAGCCTTACAATCAAAATGGAGTCAGCTATTTAATACAGATATATGCAGTTTATCATCTCAGCTCAAATTCATAAGCTGTACATAGATTCCCCAAAGGACTCCAGGATTTAACACATTTAGCATGAATACTAATATGACATAGACAAAACCTTGGCAATTAACCATTAATTTATATGACATAAACGACTTCTATAGATGTAGAGTGGACTTCTCTCTCTCTCTCTCTCTCTCTTTTTCCCCACATGAAGAAGGAAACGTGTATGTTTTAAGCAATCTGATATGGAATAAATGAACAGAACCTATGTGGTAACCATGTGAATGATGTTACTGTACTCATAAACCACTCCTACAAGACCCTAAACTGAATTGGAATAGAGAGTTGAACACTTTAAAAAGGGTGAGATGTACAAGATAGGAAGGAGCAAGATTTGTGTCAGATTTCCTACTTCAACAGTACATTTCTGCCCAAGTGTACGAGGTGATGTCTGACAGTGGGGGAAAGTAAGCTGAGACCTAACGGGGCATTCAGAGCTAATTTACAGAACAGGTAATGAACATATGACATCTGTTAGAGAATCCCTACTCTGCCTGCCCTGCAGAGCCTCTTCTGCTATATAATTGCAGATCAAATATCAAGTTCATTCAGATCATACAGAATAAATAGCCTACTGCCTCCCTCTGCAACTGCACTGCTACATCTGAGCCTAAAATAAACTGATCAGTGCTTCTTCAGTGGTACTGAAGAGCCCCAGAAAAGTATTAAAAAAAAAGCAATCCAACAAAGAGAAAACAGCATATACAATGTGCTCAGCATGTCACAAGAAACAGATCCACTACATAAAACGCTCCTTCAAAAAGCTAAGCAGCATGCTCCTCTATCCACAACTTTTTTTCTTTTGCTTGCAGTTTCTCCAGCAACAGGAAGTCTCTACAGCATGTCATTTGTCGTAGAGCCAAAATAAGTGCTAACAATGTTGGTACTGACTGTTAACTAGCAGCTCTGCCGTGTCCTATGGATCATTTGAATTGTTGTCACCCACTGACACAGAGGGTGTGCTGAGGGGGAATGTAGGCAGCTAGCTGTAAACTAGCTCCATATCCATCCTGGCTTTTAAAAGCCAGCTAGGGAAGATTGGGGCCACTGCTGGCAGCAGTTGTCAATGCCTTCCTCTGGGGAGGGCAGGGTGCAGGATGTTTTTAAGTCTGTGGTTGTCTGGTCCCTACACTCAAGAAACCATCACCTGACACTGACTCCCCAGCCAGTTATCCCCCTCTTTAAGCAACAGCCCTCTTAAAACGACAGCAGCAGGGATAGTTTCAAAGTTCCTACCAGGGTGCAGGCTCCATGGGAGTGGGGGGCAATTCCAGTACCCCTTCTAACTTGTCCCCTGGGACAGGTGCACCTCTCACCCACCCCTAGTTATGCTATTGCTAAGGTTAGTGGACAGCAACCTCCTGCAAATCCAGTATGCCAAGCAGGCTTGGTGAAAACACATGGGTGACCGTTCTCAGCAGTCGCTCCTCCACTCTGAAATTTGCTTCACCTCCCTGCCCCTTGAGGCCTGCTGGAGCCTGGGTGAAGACATCTTTCCTAAATCCTGTAAGACCTTCCGATTTGGGCAGGTATTTAGCAAGCAAGGGTAGGCTGGGATACTCTTTAGGCAGGGGTTGTCTTATATTCTATTTCAATTCTCTACTTGCATTTATACGTTACTTTGTTCTTGTGTTTTGTTCTCTTGTACATTCTCTTGTATCATAAGCTATTTTATTCTTTTCCTATAAGCCATCCTGAGCCTCTGTAAATCTGTAATAAACATTTATAATGTAACATTAGTATAGCCCTAGAGGCTGCCCCTGCAGCCCCTTTGTCATGTGCACAGACCCCACTGAAGTCATTGGTTCTTCACTTGAGTAAATGCTGCAGTGACAGTCAATGTTTAAAGTGAAGTTCAATCTGGTAAAGCAGCTTTGGGCAAAGGGTGTGGCAGAGTGCTATGTTTGTTGATCATTTGTGATTTTTATTTCAGGGTGCTTCATTTCCTGCTACAGATATACTCTTTAAAATACCTACCAGGGGCTACATTTGTGATGGGGCACCTTAGACTCGAAGCTGCAACACCTATTTATTGTTTGGCTACCAAGTGGAATATACAGTTCTTGAGATAAGTCCCTACGCCCCCATACGAGTAGTTAGAGACTTACAAATGGGTTTCACACAAGCCAGCATACTGAGCTCCCTGCGATAGCTAGTAGGAGCTAAGGTGCCTAAATACCTTTGAGGGTGTCAGCCTAGTTGCCCTCCTCCCCTTAGGATTCATGAAGACAAATCCCCTCCTGGAGTTAAATGCCTATATCAAGTCAGCCATTTCTCACACACAGAGGCAGTGTTTCTCCACATCCCCGCTCCCTGCTTCTTGCAATGGCCTTGTAGTTCTGCCACTCACCAGTGTTCTAGCCGC